GGGCTGAATTGCACAAAACGCATGATCGCACCGGCTAGCCTGGTGCGCGTTGCCATTTATTTTATAGGCTTTGCGCTGTGTAACAGCAATGCAAAACACATATGTTTTTTGTCCACGTGCGACTCGCACATTCAGATTCAGCTTTCATGTACATTTGGGTTTCTTGTACAATCCTGTGAAAGTTTTGACGGATAAAATTGTCTCTCCAGAACTAGAAGAGCTGTGAGGCTGAAATTTTAGGAAGATGTTTTGTGCTTATGCAGAGACCTCACAAACTGGAAACATAGCTCTCAAATATGCCGAAGTCTCATTATGACCAAGTGGGAGTTTTGGTGTGAAAGTCGCCAGTACGAAAGTCAGGAAATTAGGAGGTTGAAATTTGGAAGGATATTTTACATCGAAGATTTCAAATTCAGCTTTAGTGTACCGGTCTCTGAAGTCTTTGGCGGGAAATTTTGCAGCTTAAGAGTCAGACTGTTTTTGCACACTCGAAGGTGTAAAGTAGTTAAATTCTTAGCGGACAAACTTTCACTAGATGGAACTGCGCAAAACGCATGATCGCATCGGCTGCCTTGATTCACGCCGCTATTTTTTACACTTTTTTTCGCTCCAGGCCCTACACTAATAGAAAAGCAGGCGATTCCGTGATGGCTGAGCTTCTCATGGCCTGATTCAAGGAACAGCTAAATCACCATTGCACGAATGACATAGTTCTTATTGTGAGTAGCCCGTGCGAGATGAATGAGATGCTGCAGGAATTCAGCTCGTGATTTAAGGAACCGGGCATGGAAATTAACGAAGGAGATGCAAAATGTCAATGTGCCGGTGACAAAACTGTACATAGATGGCGGCGACTTAGAAGTTGAGAATTAGATCAGTCTTGGCCAGAAAGTGAGGGAGTTCGCCGTTGTTTCCAACAGAAGATTGCGTGTAGGAGTACTGCTGGTCAGCGCAAATTTCACAGCATCGTCGATGTCCGGAAAATTTGAAAATTCTTCAGTTCCACTGCTTTGAAACAATGACATGCAGATGCAAAACACGATTACGGGCAAAAGCTAGAAAGCAAACGCTAACTTGACGTAGGAAGCGGTAGAACGAAGGATACCTGGCTTATCTCTTCATAACCGTATAAACAGTCAAGCTGTCCGTCAGATGAGCTGTGCGCAGGTTATCATTTCGGGCATGCGAGAAACTGAAATTCTGTGATCAGGGTATGTTGGTCTCCTTGCAGGCAAGCGATCAACGTTGCACATTAGTAGTTGGTACTTGGGAGAGAAAAAGCGATTATTTAGACGGTTTTCTAAGAGTTTTGGCGCATATAGTTCAGGTAGGCTGCGCGTGCTAGGAACTCGATATAGCTGAGATCGGCGAGGACGCCCCGGAAGCATTAACGACATGAAATTCCCACACTGATTTCTGGGTTATATTGGTAATGCTTTTTGTAATGCATTCGGGTTATTGTAATTTTGAAGGAATGGAAGTACCAGTAGAACCGTGGGATGATTTCTTGGCAAAGTGTGAAGTGGGAAAGAAACAGAGCAAAACAGTGAGTGAATCGGAATGGGAATGGTTCGATCAGCTTTGCGAGTTAGCAGACGAAGAGTGCTGCTGCTCCGAACTGGACCAATCTCTCCAGCAAGTCACCCTCACCGTCAGGTTATTGCTTGCTTATTCAGTTTGCGCAAATTATCTGCTACATGTCTTAGTTAGGCAGATTTTTTTCAAAGAAGTTTGGCGAAAGCAAAATTATGTGGACGGAAGGGGACAAACAGCTACCCATAGCAGTATTTTCCATTGATTAGAAGCCTACCTGGCCTGTAGCACCAATAACCGAGTAAAGTTCTGCTCGTTTAAAAATAAGTAGTTTTGTAAAGTTGAGCATTCAGATTGAAATCTCCGATATTAGCAGAATTATGATTTGCCTCACTGCGAGAGCAAAGAAGAAAGTGATAGAAGGGCGATTAAACGAAGAATTGAGGGTTATGTAGCCGAACTGAGAAATAATTTATGTTTCTAATGGTCGAATTTTTGAAACTTTTTCTGAATAATTTTTCATCTGAAATCTTTTAATTGTTTTTGTAGATATCTCTTCTTAGCCTGAGAGTAGTAGCTTTCGAGCTGAGATACACACACACACACACACACACACACACGCAGACATACCAATGATATTTCAAAGCTGCTAAAGCTCTGCCAAATGTTTCTGTCAAGAAAACCGTTGAGTTGGTAATCCCTTCAGAGAACGGAAAGAGCGTCAGGGTCATCAGCAAGCTGGCCACCAAGTGCTTTGATCAAAGTGGAAAAGTCGTCACTTGCCCAGCTTGAGAATCAAGCGATAAATTACAGCTGGTCAAAGGTATAATGGAATTATCGGGGATGTCAGTGAAAAAAAAGTATAAAAATGTAATAATGAAACTGTTGCAGGCTGGATGCTAGCACCTATACATTGGTTCTATCACGCAGTGCTGATTTTCCACGCAGCAGCCCCGAGATGAGCAGTTCTTTGGGGGCTTCTTTTGAATATGAATGGCACAGTGGGGACACAATTTCCTCTCTCTATCGTCAGTTTATTGAAATCTGCCTGAGGTGTGCCTTTGTCTGTTATTTTTTTTCCTTTTTTTTCTTGGAGTAATGTATTTATTGGAAGGATGTTCCAGGATTGATTTCGCAGTGATGGCATGCAAAGAAGTCAGCTTTCCTTTCGTATTCAAAGAGTGGCAAATCGACAAAACTGATCCTACCTCGGTGAGTACGTTCAAGAAGTGATAAAGAAGTGAACAGTAGTGCAGGAAAGAAACAAAATGCGAGTAACTAACTAAGAATTCATAAAAAATGAAAATAACTAACCTTTTTTTGCAAAATACTGTACGATGAGGCAGGATTTTGCACATAGTTGCTGAGATGTGGGACTCCTGGTGAAGTGTAGCGTGGGCTCCAACGTAATGCAAGGCCATGAACCTGAAGCTAGATTTTATCCCTTTTCTGCTTCGAAGTCTCGTTTTAGGTCCGTTTTCGGGATTGTTTTTTAAAGCCAAAATAGAGTAAGCCAGAAAAGTGGAAGCTTTTTTTGTAAGGATTTGAAGAAAGAAAAAATTAACAAGTTTTCTTCCCTGTGCGTTTCTTTTTCAAGTAATCAACTGTGTTGGAATGGATTACTTGAGTTTCTCCGAAGTTTACTTATTAATCTGTTACTGTATTTTGGTGATTAATAATTACCAATCTTATGATAAATTACAGTGAATTCAGTTTTTCACTTCGCAAAACATAGTCACTAACGAAAGCTGAAAAGCGAACGCTTCATGTTTTGCAAAGGCAGTTAGAAGAGGCAGCGTTTAGAATAGCTGTTTGTGGCATATAAGAAGTGGAGCTTTCTGTCAGGTGAGTATCGTGAAGGATCTTATGCGACCATGCAAAAAGTAGAATTTCGGTGGCTTGGTGTTGTACTTGCGGAAAAGTAAGCAGCCGCTCAGATGGTCTCTGTAGAAGTGGTATACATACATAGAACAAGTAGTCAGTTACTAACAGGAGGTATTCAGCCTTGCTTCGCACTGTCTGGCGTAACTTCACCACTTTCGGATGCTCAAATCAATTGATCAGGGAGTTTCGGTGATTTTTTCCACTTCAAGTGATTTTTTACAGTTTTTAGTCTATAACTGTGAACCTTTGATTGCATTCATTGCATCGTTTCAGTCAGTTTTAGATAAGCATCACGCTTACATGCAATGAAGGAAATGCGGAGAATGAGGGTTTTACCCTCAATTTATCTGTGGACTGGTCGGAGCCAAATCTTTTTCCACGCTCAATCACTTCACCAACCCCGGAATGTCTTCAGCATTTACGATTCGACGAGTGGGACTCGTCGCTGCCTTTTGCTGAAAATTTACGCAGAATTTTTTTGTTGAATCATGATGAAAACACTTTGTGT